GGCCGAACCTAAAAAAAAAAGTAAAAAAAGAACGGTTAGTAACCGTTCATATTAAAAAAAAATAAAATAAACTCCAAAGAATTCGTACTTACGAATCTTTGGAGTTTCTGTACTTTGGAAGCCCACCCAAAAGCCGAACCTATAAAAAAAAAGTAAAAAAAGTGAAAGGGAGAAGGGGAAGGAAAGAAAAGGGAAGGAAGGAAAAGGGGAAGAAGGGGAAACAAGGAAGGGGAACGAAGGAAAGGAAAGGGGAGGGGAAGAAAAAAATTATTAAAAGTTTAAAAAAGGATGTATAAGATGATCCTTTTTTAAACTTTTAATACGCATAATGCGTAACGCATAACGTTTGATAAATCATATATGTCGAAACTTGGCCGATTTTTAATAATTTACGAAATTTGGCCGAAATGTGTGACAGATCAGCCGATTTGTCACATGACCGAAAGTTTTGATTTCGACCAGTGCCACCATTCCCATTCCCTGTTGGTATGGCAATTATCGTTACATTTGGAAAGTCAGGTAAGTTTCGTACCTTACGAAACTTAAATTATTATTTTTTTACTTTTTTTTCTTTATTAAGAAACGTTTTAACGTTTCTTTTACCTTTTTTTGTAGGTTCCGTTACTCCAAGATTCCAAAATGGCAAAATGTAAGTTTCGTTTTAATGAAACTTATTATATTATATTTTTTTTTTAATTAAGAAACGTTCTCTAACGTTTCTTATACTTTTTTTTGTAGGTTTTAGTGCTCCAGGATTCTGAAACAGAAAATGTAAGTTTCGTTTTAACGAAACTTATTATATTATATATTTTTTTTAATTAAGAAACGTTCTTTAACGTTTCTTTTACTTTTTTTTGTAGGTTCCGGTGTTCCAGGAGCGTAAATTCATTAGACTATAGCTGGAATAAACCAACACTAGATTATTAGGTCTTTTTAGAAACGTTAAAAGACCTGTGAGAATGCCAAGTTTCAGCATGAATATTCATTAATGACTCTCCTTGATTCCGAAATGGAAAAATGTAAGTTTCGTTTTAACGAAACTTATTATATTTTTATTTTTTTTTTAATAAAGAAATGCTCTAACGTTTCTTTTACTTTTTTTTTGTAGGTTCAAGTGCTCCAGGATTCCGAAACGGAAAAATGTAAGTTTCGTTTAACAAAACTTATCTTTTTTGTTTTTTTAATTAAGAAACGTCCTAACGTTTCTTTTACTTTTCTTTTCTTGTAGGTCTCCAAGTCGGGTGTCATTGGAAAGTGAAAATGGTAAGTTTCACAATGAAACTTATCATGTTTTATTTTATTTTTTATTATTAGAAATGTTTTTTAACGTTTCTCTTTTATTTTTTTTGTAGATTCGAGCGGGATACTTGACTTTGGTAAGTTTTGCAACATAAACGTTGCGAAACTTAATTTTTTTTTTAATTTTTTTTAAGAAACGTTCTAATGTTTCTCTCTTTTTTTGTAGATCGATTTTGGGAGTCTGATTGATCTGGAGCTCCCTCCCTCCAGTTTCAGAAGTCTTGGGTTTGGATAACGTTCAGGTTTCGAAGTATAACTTCGAAACTTCAATTTAAATGGTGAGTTTCATGACAAATATCACGAAACAAGTTTTTTTTGATTTTTTTTATTAGGAACTGTTTACTAACGTTCCTTTTCTTTTTTGTAGGTTCAGGATATCTGGGAAGCTAACTTAGGAAACATGAATCGCGTAAAACCATTGTTAAATAGAAGCCATTACTTTCCATTCAGGTATTGGATATGGCTTGGTAAGTTTCGTACATTTCGTTACGAAACTCCTGTTTTTTTTTTAAGAAACGTTCTAACTGAACGGTTTTCTTTTTTTGTAGATTATTGTAATGAAATAACAAAAGTAAACAGTTCTTTGGTTCCTTGCTTGGTGAGTTTCGAAGATTAACCTTCGAAACTTTTTGTTTTTTTTATATTTGTTTTTCTTTAACATTATTGTACTTAATTACATATTATAATGATAAATTGTTAATAAAATTAAAATCATAATAAATTGTTATAAAATTTGCATAAAATTACGCCAAATTGTTGCTTAATTACATCAGGAACTTTTAATACGCGAAGTACTTCGTAAACTTTATACGATGTAAAATTACGTAATATTTTGTAGTAATATTACAGAGTACTTCGTCATATTATGTAGAATTAAATTTTATAATATTTAGATATATTACATAGTGTAGTCTTACATAACGTACTAAAGTATTCCATAATTTTATTGCTACGTATATTTTTGAAAATATAATAGATTGTAATTTTATGTAATATATCGAAGCACTCCGTATTTTAATGTAATGTAAAATTTTGAAATTATTAAGGTATAATCTTACGTAATATTCCAAGTAATTGTCCACTTGTATATCATACCAGATACTAAAATGAGTAATAACCGTTGGTCAGATGATGATGATGTGCTAGAAAGTCTCAAACTGGAAATAATCTTCATATATACTGCGACAAATCATATTTATATATTTTTTTAATTTCTTCTTTTTTTAATTTCTTCTTTTTCGTAGGTTTCCTTCTAGAACGGCAATTTCGGCTTAATTGATTAGTATGTTTATTTTTTTTAAATTTATTTTTATTTTTAAAATTAATAACTTGCTTTTTCTTCTTGTAAGCTTCTGCCTAGAAATGGTCAGTTGGTTAGTATTTATTTATTAAATTAATAACTTCTTGTAGGCTTCTTCCAAGATGGCAATTTCGGCTGAGTATAGGAACGCTTTTTTGATTTTTTCTTCTCGTAAGGGTACGTTGGCAATTAGTTTAATATAGAACACTTAGTTAATTAGATTTTTATTTTTTTTTTAATTTATTTTTATTTTTAAATTAATAACGCCTTTTCTTCTTGTAGGCTTCTTCCAAAATGGCAATTTCAGCTGAATATAGGAACGCTTTTTTGATTTATTTTTTTTTCTTCTCGTAAGGTACGTTGGCAATTAGTTTAATATAGAACGCTTAGTATTTTTATTTTTATTTTTTTTTAAAATTTATTTTTATTTTTAATTAATAACTTGCTTTTTCTTCTTGTAGGCTCTTCCAAGATGATAAGTTCGACATGTGCCTGCCTCTTAATATAGGAATGGTTGGTTGGTTAGTATTTATTTATTAAATTAATAACTTCTGAATATAGGAACACTTTTTGATTTTATTTTTTTTTTCTTCTTGTAAGGGTACGTTTTGCAATTAGTAGGTCTATGACTTGGCTCTCGTATTGAAAAGACCCCCCAAGGTACCATGGTAAAGGTGTTGTATTCATTGTAGGGTATTCGTACCTGATAGGTAACCTCCTTGAACCATCTAAGAAATACCATTAGTACCGGGAGAAGAGGGGGTGTATCAGTAAATACGATAATAGGCTGAAAGTTGTATGTACGCGTACAAAAGCAACGAAAAATAACATTACAAAAGCCATCAAATTTCTTATAAAAATCATTTTAAATTAAATAATTTTAAATTAATCATCTGTTTATATATATATTATGTTTAAAATTTTATTTTGGTTACAGAAAATTATTACTAAGGCCTTTAGTGAGCCACTGTATATACATATATATTTTTATATAAAACTTTATTATAATCGTAAAACGAAAATTGCATCATGTCAATAAAGTATCTACACTAAATACAAAACTAAAAACTTTGCTAATACTAAAACCCATTCCAAATATGACATACTATCCATAAATTTATAACCATAAAACAAAAATTAATTCGCAGCGGATCCAATATTTTCTTACGTATAAATTAGTAAAGACCATAGAATCCATGTGATATAATAAAATCATTTTACCAATTTTTTAAATTCCTATATACATATAACGATAGTACAGTAAATTTTGTTGTAATTAACTTTATTAAATATATTATCAATGTAGCTTTATCTGCTTACTTTATTATGGAATTGTAACTGTGCTTGCTGTGTTTGCTATATAAGAAAAACAAAAATACAAAAAAAAAAGAAAATAAATCAACGTAAAGAAGTTTCACGATCAATATATAAGGTATCTAAAATAAACTACTACTAGTACCCTATATATTCCCTGTAGTATAAAGGCTGCCACCTGAATTTAAAAATCTGGTAAGTAGAACACCAATTGTGGTATGAATGTTCATCATATTAAACTCAGCAGGTATACCAAGATTAATAAACATAAGGATGAAAAGTAAGAGCGAAGGAGAACCGATCCCAGAAGAGAGAGGAAAAGGTGGAAAATTCTTAATCTCATATCATATCTTGCATCTCCCGTCAACTTTTAACTAATGTAGTAAGTTGGTGACACTATTAGGCAGGAGGCAGAGTTGGAGTAACAGAAGATATTTAAAGGAGGGAATCGAAATGTCCATAAAGTGAATAATAATAAATAGTAGAAAAGTCGTAAAAAAGGGGGTAGTCAGATGAGGTTCAGGAGGTGAACGGAATGATCCCATTAGGAAATAGGACCAGGATTATGTTGTATAACAATCTTTGTTGTCTAAAAAGGAATGTGGACTTGATGAGAAAATATTTCTCAGCAAAAGGAGAGAGACCTACTAATATTGAGGCTGTGCAATATACTAAAAGTCGAATAAATATTTTTTTTAGATAGCGATTTATCTCCAATCTTTGTGTCATCAATGTGTCAAATAAAGAAAATTTATAAATAAAATAAATAAAACTATAAAATAAAAATAAAATTAGAGTGAACGAGAGAACAAGAACAAAAATTGAATTAAATAAATTTAATGACGTGATTTGTGGTATGGCAGTATTATTGGAATATACTTTTATTTAAAAAAAAATATACAATTATTTTTTTCTTAATCGAGTAGATAAATGCCACTGGTCGAATAATGGTATACAGTGAAGAATTATAAAGGACCCCGGATATCTTCAAAACAGGTCATAAGTCACACTTTTGGCAGATTGGCCCATTTTTCAGGGGCTCAAAAAATCGTTTTTTGTAAATATCTCGGCATCCAGTGGTCCAATTTTGAAGAACTTTTTTTTAAATTGTAGAGCTAAATGAGGGCTACAAAATAAAAAAAAGTTCATTAAAATTGAATTACTGGATGCTGAGATATTTACAAAAAACGATTTTTTGAGTTTCAGCAAAAAGGGGTGTTTTTGGCCAAAAGTCCATTATGACCTTTATATTAGATATCCGGGGTCCTAATTATAAACCCGATTCTTCATTGATTCTTCATAGATTGTACTACTATATTATTTCGATGATTATTTCCGATTTTCCACCAATACCTCGTTTAGATTCTGGACAACATCGGTAAACCTATATAATTCATAAATATTGTAATTAAATCAGTAAAGAATAGGGTTTTCTGATATTTATCCTATTTCCAAAAGGTCATTCATAATGTGTACTTCTGGCTCTTTTAATTTATTCTGTTCTTCAGAATTATAATTTCTTAATTTTTAAAAAAAATGCGATGAGAAATTCTGTATCACATAACCACTGTTCAATATTCATTTCGGTATTAATTTTTCCGAATAGAATTGTGATACAAATCAATCCGCATCATATCATACAATAGATTTTCTTTGACACATTATCAAATGACATGCAGTCGATATTACTAAGAAAAAAATAAAAAATTAAAAGTAAAAAATAAAATTTTAGCACACGAATTTTTCATTAAGAAGCTTTGCAATTGTGCAAATTGTTTATATAAAATATAAATTAATTACTCTATGCAAGGCTGTGCAATACATCGAAAATATGTAAATTACACGAATATTATTTTATATAAATTAAATATCATGCAAGATTTCATAAAATATACAAATTACACAAATTTATATCAAGTGAACATCGTGCAAGTTTTCCACAATCCGTTCTTTGCAATGATATTTATTAATCTTGTATTACTAAGAAAAAATCGATCATATGAAAATACTGAATATTAAATCAATTATACAATTGAAAAAAAAATAAAAGTAAAAAATAAAATTTTCGAATTTCTCATTAAGAAGCTTCGCAATTGTGCAAATTGTTTATATAAATTAATTACTAAGCAACTATACTGCAACTATGCAAGGCTGTGCAATAATTCTTCGAAAATATGTAAATTACATAAATATTATTTTATATAAATTAAATATCAGTCATGCAAGATTTCATAAAATGTACAAATTACACAAATTTATATCAAGCGAACAACTGAACATCGTGCAAGTTTTCCATAATCCGATCTTTGCAATGTTATTCTTTAATAACTATGTCTTCATATTAAGTTTATCCCATATAATAAATAAATTTATTTTTATACTCTTGATCTTGGCTTTATTTTCAAATAAAAACGTCGTTAAAACTTAAAATGAGTTCTAAGGCTACATCAAGTTCAAAACGTAAGAAAAGCCGAAATGCGCATGATAGCTCTAGTAAAAGTGTACGCCAACAGATAGAAGATACCTCTATTATTTCTACACCACCTATCGAAGGTTAGCATTAATTTTCTATGATTACAGATTAAATAAAACAATCTTTCTCATGTATAATTTTATATAATAAAATATATAGTATCACGTATTACCGTTGAGCGCATTTTATCAAAATTGTCATCCTTAGAGTTAAAAATGGACCAAGTAAACACTACTTTATCAGATCTTGCAGATAAAGTTTCAAAATTAGATGATCAAATGAAGAATGAATCTGGCGATTAGGATTTAGTATTGGTAATCAATTAATAAATTAATTGTTTATCTATATTTAATTTATTATTAATATTAATATATTATATCGTTTAGTCTGCTGTAAAACGTATAGTAAAGGAACTAATTAAAATTGCTATATATCCGACTCAAAGTCAATTTCTGTCAAAAACTGAAGAATTTCTATCAGAAAATTATTCTGAATTTTATAAACGTGTATCTAGAAGAAATTGGATTTCCTATTATGAAAATAATATATTTCCTCAGGTAATACAAACCTTCTTTATATTTGATAATACTCGTAGTTAATATTTATTTTTTAGTTGTTGGATAAACACCGTTCCCATCGAGGTACCTTATCCTCGCGGATCAAAGATACTATGTTTGCCATTTTTGGTGACGATCAGTTACCACCTATCAATTCAAGTGCTACCCTGGAAAAAATAAGTATATGGAAGAAATCGCAAGAGGTGCGCAATTGTTATAAGAAATTAAACACGCATATAGAAAAAATTTTGGTAAAGTTATATGGTCCGGATAACACAGGTAGAAAGCTGACCAATCGGGTACCATCCCGATTGGTCACTTTTTTTTAAATAGTCACCTGATTTGTTCAATAGTTAGAAATTGGTGTAAACTTTCGATCAGGTACCAATCAGGTTATTACCCGATTGATAACTATTGTTTAGTTTAAATTTACCGATTGATTTCTATTGTACTGTTTAAATTTAAAATTACCAATTTTATAATTTATAAATTTATAAACAATGTTTTAATTATATTGAAACTAAATTTATTAATCAGTATTACTAGAAATATGAATTTACCGATTTAAAACTAATCATAACATTATTACAAATGAAATTGTCTATTGATAGGTATGACTGCCATGTAAGTAATCAGTTTTCGGTTGCCTATTGTAAATTTACAAGGTAAAAATCGGCTATATATATTATGAATCGGTATAATACAATCTCTTGATAATTCGTGAAAATAATCTTTCCACAATTCAATATTACAGCTTTTATCATCCTGATTGTCGATTCTGCAATGAAATCTTGTTTTTTCCCTCGGTACCCACATATACCATTTTATAAAAGCAAGTCGATGTGTCTTTGCACCGGTTGGAAGCGGAACTGTGTGCTCAAAATAAAACTGCACTTGTCCGAGAAAAATATCGACAGATTCATCATCTTGTATAAACTTGCTTGTGACATATGAACTTCTTTGATATCGAGGTGCAAGTGCAGATCCAAAGATTTCAGTAGCAATCCGAATACGACCAAATTGAGACACATTGGGTGATACAACGATTGGTTGATTTTCAGAATTGCTTGATGTCAAATTATTTGAAACAAATTCGGCAATTGATACAAAATCCCTATTGTATGTATCATTGTAATATTTTATCAGAAGTTTATATATAGTATCTGGTAACGATACTTGCTTTTTTGGGGTAATCATTTCTCCGGGAAATTCTTCACAACCGGTAATTGTAACATCAATATTTTGATGAAAGGTTCGCATAAATCGGTAAAGTTCAGCAAAATCAAACCCATCATAAGCCGCTAAACTTCCAGTAGTTAGCCTATTTTGTACCAGAGATAATGCTTCCATCAATTTTTGATTATCCGATTGGGCGGATATTAGGCAATTTAGCCGTGAATTTTGCGTGATGATTCGCATCAATTCTAGTTCAATAGCTCGCTTACTATTTGGAAAAGAACCTACAGCAAGATGATAAATAAATTAATTCATTTATACAATTTATTAAATTTAACTTATACCGATAACTTATACCGATTTATATATATATTTACCTAATAATCAGTTCATTCTTTCAAACGAGTAACACCAGAAAGAATATAATGGGCCATAATCATGGCAACAATCGACAATATGGAGTGATAAATGGATGTTTGGAGTTATCATCTCTTTTCCGTAATACGTTTCAATTAAACGAGCTACTTGAAGCAATCAGCTATGAGCTTCGCGCAATGCATTGGTGGCGATAATTTGACAGACAAGCAAAGAGCAAGCTCTTACAAAATTTGCTAATATTTCACGATCGGAAGTATCTAGGAGATCCCACATCAATGGAGTCGCGTAAATTAAAATAAACGATTTCCATTGATCAGCCATAAATCCAGAAAACCCTTCCCCAGTTGCTATTTTATACGGAATCCTTCCGATATCCGCTGGTACTTTAAGAGCTTTTGCTCTTCTTTCCATTAATTCAAGGTCCTTTTTAGTGATTTTTCCGCTATCTATCCATAATTTCTTTACGATCCAATGAGCAATCTCCAGGAATAAACAGTGCATTGGATCGACAATAAGATGTCTTATCAGGTTGAAATAAGGCAATCTTAGCATTTCCGACCACTGCACGTGAGTGTCGGAAACATGTTTTTTTCTTTCTTCCTGAGTTCTGCACTGTCTCCAAAGTTCGGCATTTCGTCGATGCTCATTTGGATCTCTGGAAATGTACCAATCATCCATATCGTCAAACTCACCAAAATTAAACCTTCTTCCGCTGCTATTGGCTGTTTTGTAGCATCGATGACAACCGACCAGTGCCGAAATATGTCCACATAATTTTCTAGCAGCCGGTATGTCATTGCTGCAGCAAATTACGGCCATCTGAATTCTTTTACCAGATGGTAGATCGATGCCATCCCAGAATTCTAACAATTTGTCGACAATTGGACTAAGAAAATGATTAATCTTGTGTAATTTTACTTCTTCCAGTCCTGGGAAAAGTCCAAGATATAGCATGTTTTCTCGTTTAAATCTAATATCACGGGGAAGATTACATATGACCCCATAGATAACACCAGAACTGTAAGCTGATGAATTAAATGGCTGGAACCAGTCTAAATTAATCATGATCCCAAGATTAAAATCGGCCATCTCATTTGTAAAAAATTGAGTATCCGGGTTGTTTAAGGAAGATGGAAAGCTTTTCCATACATCTCCATCGTAAATATCGGTGTATAAGCCTGGTTCATTTCTCCGATTTGTCCATTTCTGAAGTGATTCTTCAAAGCCTGGACGTTGATACATCACAGTCAATTGCTTTTTCAAAGTTGGTATCGGATATAACATTCTGGGTCTTTGGACAAATCTATTAACTACCGGGACTTTATTAGTTAATTCTGTTCCACATATCCGCCTTTTATTACGCATAGGATGGTTAGGAAATTCCACATGAGTGCATTGGAATCCGGTATTTGTCTCATTTTGTGGATTTCCTGGCAAAATTTCTGATATTTTATACAGNCATAGGATGGTTAGGAAATTCCACATGAGTGCATTGGAATCCGGTATTTGTCTCATTTTGTGGATTTCCTGGCAAAATTTCTGATATTTTATACAGAGTGTTGCATTCAGAACATACCACACATGTCCTATCTCGTTTATTAATTCCTAAAAGTTTTTTTGACATATAAAAACTTGTAGGAAAATTTTAAAAACGTGTTCGATCAGTATCCAATAATACCATCCTGAAAAACTTAATAAGTGACTCAATAGCAACATCCGGAACACGAAATCTCGCTTGGTATTTGAATATCCACAGAAGTATCCACGAATCATTAAAATTAATGTTCGTGTCAAAATATTCATGGTCTGACTCAAGATCATTAAAATTGGGAGCGGTAAATTCTTCAATTGGAACATCGTCTTCATCTGTAGTAGAAGCTCCATCATCATCGCTCGGTACTTTATCTTTAAGTTGAACTGGTTCCAGTTTATTAGGTTGTTCAAGATTTACATCACGAAACTTATTGTGGCATTTTCGTCTTTTCGGTCCATCAATCGGCTCATTATCAGTTTCATTATCGTTTTCATCATCATCATTTCGTTCCGATTCTTCATCATCATTTCATTTCGATTCATCATCATCGTTTCGTTCCGATTCTTCATCATCGGTTCGTTCTGATTCATCATCATCGTTTTGTTCTGATTCATCATTATCATTTCGTTCCGATTCTTCATCATCATCGGTATCTGATAAATTCTCAACGACTCTAGTTCTTCTTTTTTTTCTTTCTTTAGAACTGTTGCTAGAATTGATTTTTTTTCTTTCTTTAGAAATGTTATGTTTTTTGCCGGTTCCTCTTGATCGAGAAGCTTGAGATCCGGTAGCGATAGCTTGGAGTTGTTCTATTTCTTTGCGTTATCTCTCAAATGTTCTGGGATCCACCAATTTACTACCTCCGCAATGCAATAAACATTTACATTCAACCAAATTTCTAGTTTTAGGACCACTTTTAGTAACTTTCGAACGATTTCTATTAACACGATATTTTCTTGGTCTTGGCATATTTGGTTTGATATAAATATTTACCAACCCAATTTTATTTTAAATTTAAATAACCTGATTTAATAACTTTGAAGTTTGTTTATAAAATTCATCGTAATTAGTTCTCAATCAGTTAACTTATTTCATTTAGTTGATTAAATAAATTCTTAAAATTTCCATATCAATCAATTAATTTATTTCATTTAGTTGATTAAATAAATTCTTAAAATTTCCATATCAATCAATTAATTTATTTCATTTAGTTGATTAAATAAATACTTAAAATTACCATATCAATCAGTTAGCTTATTTCATTTAGTTGATTAAATAAATTCTTAAAAATAATATATCAATCAGTTATCTTATTGCAATTAATTAAAAAATAATAATATCAATCATGATTGAATAAATGGATTTTATGTATCAATTAATCGTATGAACGTATAAATCGTAGAAATTGCGAGAAAATTACTATCACTATTATCTTTAATATTAATTGCAACGGTTAATTAAATCAGTTTATTTTTATTTTTAAATATATCAATAGTAACTAACAGTTAATTAAATCAGTCTATTTAAGCTAAAATAAACTATCGGGAATATATATATGAGCTAATTTAGACTCGACTTTTTCTTCTCGCTTGTTACCGATTTTTGTAACATAACCCTATATTTTTCTATCCGTGAATTTATTAAAACATATTCTTACTGAAATATTATAATTAAATATGACTAAAAAACATGAAAAACATGAAAAACATGAAAAGAAGAAAAAATCTGGAAAACGGTACCACTCGGATATAGAATCCTCCAATAGCGAAAAACCTGAAGCTAAAGTGCGAAAGACCAATAAAACGGTTCCAAAGAAACAAATGGACAAACAACGGTAATTTAATTTATTTGATTTTCGTCAGATTCTTTAATTTCTCGATTTATTAGCGATCGATACCTAATATTAAACCAACGAAAAGACAAAAGCCCACTTTAATCGACTTTGTTGAAGACGAAGAAAGAAATATTGGTATATTTCGATATATTTATGTAATCATGCCTGAATTTATTATATCACCTAATGATTATGAATTTAAAGTACTCGATAAAGAAAAACGAACAAAAAGACGTCAATCGGAATCAATGAAAGGCCAAAAAGGCCAAAAGTCCGGTGTAATTGACTTAGTTGACGATGATGACAATGATCTGATTCAACAGGATGAGAGAGATAATGATCAAACCGGTATGTTATTAATGTATATATTAATAAGTATATTATAATAAGATTATCAAATTTTATCAATTTTATCACAATTTTTCTTTTTTAGCGTTCAAGGAGCAAGTCGAAGAATTGAGTCAGTTGATCCAGAAAATAACGAAAGGTAAACAAAAAGCAGCAAATCCGAAAGATATGATTATTGACTGGTCGGGAGTAGAAACCTCAGATTCTCCAGAAAAGAGCCAATACGTATCCCGATCACTGAAAAAGAACTGATATATCCAAGCTTATGGAATTGCAAAAGAATATGGAGTTGCCGGATCATCAAAAAATGCCCGCCTCCATCCTCATCCTCATCGTCATCGTCATCCTCATTCTCATCCCCATCCCCATCCCCATCCTCCTCATTTTCATCCTCAAATTCGTCGTTTTTTCATTACGAGGAAATGGATCGGGATCTAAGGACTGCTTTAAGGGTAACTATTTTTTTTTTTTAGTTCAGTTTAATTCCCCAGATTGTTTGCTAATCAGTTGATATTCTTACGATTAGAACAAAATTGCCAGAATTATGGACCGACTTCCGGAAGATAAAGCATTAAATACTAGGAAAACTTTTGATAGTCAGCGAAAGTTGGTCCAAAATAACATAATTCCGGTAGTACAAAAAATGATCAATAAGAATATATTCTCTGTATCCGATGGTGTGATTAAGCATATCGTGCATGAGAGACATCATCACCAGAGAGCTACTACTCAATAGCGAGAGGGATGCCAATTGGAAAGATCTCGAAAAAAGAAGAAAGCATACAAATTCAAGATGAAGTGATGTAAATATTAAATCGTTGTTTTTATATTACCTTATCTTATAATTTTCTATTAATTATTTAGAAGCGGGAAAGACGAAATAAAACTATCGNATAATTTATATTTGCTTTAATAAAATTATTTTTGTGTAAAAAAATTAGATTCCAAGGATCGGCCCATATGTTATTGCAATTAATTAAAAAATAATAATATCAATCATGATTGAACAAATGAATTTTATGTATCAATTAATCATATGAACGTATAAATCAGAGAAATTGCGAGAAAATCACTATCGCTACTATTTTTAATATTAATTGCAACGGTTAATTAAATCAGTTTATTTTTATTTTTAAATATATCAATAGTAACAGTTAATTAAATCAGTCTATTTAAGCTAAAATAAACTATCGGGAATATATATATTAGCTAATTTAGACTCGACTTTTTCTTCTCGCTTGTTACCGATTTTTGTAACATAACCCTATATTTTTCTATCTGTAAATTTACTGAAACATATTCTTACTGAAATATTATAATTAAATATGAATAAAAAACATAAAAAACATGAAAAACATGAAAAGAAGAAAAAATTTGGAAAACGGTACCACTCGGATATAGAATCCTCCGATAGCGAAAAATCTGAAGCTAAAGTGCGAAAGACCAATAAAATGGTTCCAAAGAAACAAATGGACAAACAACGGTAATTTAATTTATTTGATTTTCGTCAGATTCTTTAATTTCTCGATTTATTAGCGATCGATACCTAATATTAAACCAACGAAAAGACAAAAGCCCACTTTAATCGACTTTGTTGAAGACGAAGAAAGAAATATTGGTATATTTCGATATATTTATATAATCATGCCCGAATTTATTATATCACCTAATGATTATGAATTTAAAGTACTCAATAAAAAAAAACGAACAAAAAGACGTCAATCGGAACTAATGAAAGGCCAAAAAGGCCGAAAGTTCAGTGTAATTGACTTAGTTGACGATGATGATGATGATCCGATTCAACAGGATGAGAGAGATAATGATCAAACCAATATGTTATTAATGTATATATTATAAGTATATTATAATAAGATTATCAAATTTTATCAATTTTATCACAATTTTTCTTTTTTAGCGTTCTAGGAGCAGGTCGAAGAATTGAGTCGGTTGATCCAGAAAATAACGAAAGGTAAACAAAAAGCAGCAAATCTGAAAGATATGATTATTAACTGGTCGGGAGTAGAAACCTCAGATTCTTTAGAAAAGAGCCAATACGTATCCCGATCACCGAAAAAGAACCGATATATCCAAGCTTATGGAATTGCCAGATCATCAAAAGAATATGGAGTTGCCAGATCATCAAAAAGTGCTCTGCCTCCATCCTCATCGTCATCGTCATCATCATCGTCATCCTCATCCCCATCTCCATCTCCATCTCAATCCCCATCCTCCTCATTTTCATCCTCAAATTCATCATTTCTTCATTACGAGAAAATGGATCGGGATCTAAAGACTGCTTTAAGAGTAATTATTTTTTTTTTAGTTCAGTTTAATTCCCCAGATTGTTTGCTAATCAGTTGATATTCTTACGATTAGAACGAAATTGCCGAATTATGGACCGACTTCCGGAAGACAAAGCATTAAATACTAGGAAAACTTTTGATAGTCAGCAAAAGTTGGTCGAAAATAACATAATTCCGGTAGTACAAAAAATGATCAATAAGAATATATTCTCTGTATCCGACGGTGTGATTAAGCATATCGTGCATGAGAGACATCGTTACCAGAGAGAGCTACTACTCAATAGCGAGAGGGATGCCAATTGGAAAGATCTCAAAAAAAGAAGAAAGCATGCAAATTCAAGACAAAGTGATGTAAATATTAAATCGTTGTTTTTATATTACCTTATCTTATAATTTTCTATTAATTATTTAGAAGCGGGAAAGACGAAATAAAACTATCGACAAGTTAAAAAAATTAAAAGATTGATTGATAAATAAGTTTCATACCAACGAGCTCCAGCCTCTTTAGACTGATAATCAATACCACAGTTCAGAGGTATCGGAGACCGATAGCGATAACCCTAATAAGTGAAAGATCGTCATACGGGATCTCAAATGGAAATCAGCTACCGTAAGTATTTGAATAATTTTTACCAATCAGTGCATAATAATTCGTATTTTTATTATTCTTTTTTTTTATAGCTACGCTCTTTTTTACGAAATTATGTCGATAATGCGGCATCAAATGCTCAACGTGTAAGAAAACGGGTGTATGATACTGAATACGCTCCTAATGAGTACAGTGCACCCGTTAATGCCCCCAAATGGGCAAAAGTTGGTTACAAAGGATTATTGAAACATTTAGTGAAAAAATATAGTGCTAATCGCGAAGAGGTAGAGGATGATAAAAGCCAGGAAGATGATGATGCAACCGGCGGAGAAAAGAACGAAGATCAGGAAAAAGAGCAGGATGAAGAAGTGGACAATAGGAAAAAAAGGAAAAAGAGAAGTATAAGTCTTGTTTCAGAAGAATACGATAGTAGTGATAGTAGTAAATCGGTGGGATGATTCAATTATATAATAATAATTTAGCAATAAATTTATTTCTGTAAAACCAATTTTTATAATTTTAATAATTAATATATAATCGTATTTAGTAAACTAACCAAAATATAATTAATAAAACCGTAAATTTAAAATAAAAATGTATGGCAATCAGAAGATTTTTTATTGGTTGAAAAGTTAACAATCGGTATACTGATATGTCAAATAGTAAATGGCCTATTGTAACCCGATTGTACTCTATTTAAATATCCAATTGTACTCTATTTGAATATCCCGATTGGAATCCTAATGTACTCTTATTGCGCCATTTTTTGGTAGCAATCGGGATTCTCCCGATTGATAATAAACAAAAAAAATAGGGGACCAATAAGATGGAAATCAGGTGACCCGATTTCCATCTTATTGGTTCCCTATTTGTCATCATTTGACCGGTGTAAAGAAAAAAGAAGTGAAGTTCAAGTTGCGTTTGCAATGGCCTTGGTAGAAGAAATTTTGAACCCGTAAAAAAACCATTTGAAGATTAGTGAGGTTTTGATGCAATTAAAAATCGAAAAGTACCTTGTATGTTTGTTTATATATATATTTTAAATGTGAAATTATATATTTTTATAAAGATAATAACAATTTTTTTTTTATTTTAGAATAAATTGAGAAATAATTCTTATAGTTTTTCAGAAGAAGAACATAGTGATGAAGAATATTTATCAGGTGAAAGAGGTGAAGGCGAAGGAAGCAAAGATTATGAAAGTGATAAGTAATAAGAATAATGATATTCTTTTATTTCCGATGTTTATAGTTTAAACTCGTTTATTGTAAATTCTTGTTCTCCTTGTAAGAATTGTAGCTTTAAGTAAAATAAAGTAGTTCATTTATTTGTAAGATTAGAGCACCAAGTCGGTAAATAAATAACAACTGATTTTATTATAATTATATAAAAATTTTTATTATTATTAAAATTTACATAGAAGAAAAATATTAAAGAAAAATCAAAACAAATAAAAAACGAAAGCCTAAAGATCAAAATCACAAAAAATAATGGTTAGTACTAAGTTTCGGACAAATATCAGAATAATTTAGGCCTGAAACTTAACATCATATAATTGATATTTAACTTATAGAATCCTGATATCTGTAAAGAAAATAGTTGTGAAAAAATACTTGTCGAAACTATGAATCACGTGGTTTAAGAAAAATTCTCAAGAATTTTTCTTAATACTGCTTAATTTAAAGTTTAAAACATTGGTAACGATAATTAAAATTGCTGCAGTATATTTTTGGAGATCGCTGATTCCTAAGTCTATTTTCCACTAGCCGAATTTAGACTTCATTAAAAAATATTTTTTTTTCTCTTTCTTATGGTAAAGTTTCGAAGTTGAATTTGAAACGAAATTTTTCAACTTTGGAAATATTAATGTTTGGGACATTATAAATTATCTCTAATACATGTCTCGCAGTTTCAGCTCCAACGATAATAAAATTATGGATACGAATGCCTTCTAACCAAATAAAAGTTATGACCTTTTATTTTCGTTTTTAAAACGGGCAATTAAGACTCCTTTAAAACGTTTCTTTAACGTTTTTCAAACTGGCTCCGAAGACTTAGATTTTAGAGTCCTAAGTATGTTTTGACAAAAAAGTCTTTAATTTCGGATTCCTGGGTAAGTTCCAAACGGTTTGAAACAACTTTTTTTAAAAAAAGTTAATTTTTCATTTTTTTTAGAGTCGGAATTCAACCTATTTCCTTTATTACTTTTTTATGTAGATTTTGACGGCGATTTCAAGAATAGGTAAGCTGAGGAATTTTTCCTTTTTTTCTTTTTTGTTTTAATTCTAAAAACTTATGTTTCTTTTTATCTTAGGTTTCGGGTTAAATTTTAAAGAATCGGTAAGTTTATTCTTCGTATATTATTTATTTTTCTTTTGTTTCGTATTTATACTAATCTATGACTTTTTTCCTCCTTTAGATCCTGGTGGCAAATGGTTCTTTCATATTTTTCAATTTCAGTAATGATTTTTTTTCCTTAATTTACTTTTAAACGAACTGTTACTAATAATTATTTTTTATTTTTTTTAGGCGGTTCTTTCGGTCTCTTTGGAGTTTAGACTTGGGATCTCGGTAAGTAAAAATTTTTTTTAATGGGTTTTAACTTAACGAACTTTACTAACAGTTCGTTTCCTTTTCTTTTTTTTCTAGCTTTCTAGCAATAAAGAGAAGAACGGCTCTTTTTAGATACGTATTTCGATATGGTAAACGTAATATATCTTTTTATTTAATTTCTTTTAACGAAATGTTTACTAACATTCCGTTTTTTCTTTTGTAGATGGTCGGGAAAGGAGATTCAAATAAAAAAGTTACTTTAAAATGTTTATATAATTCACAAGAATCTATTAATTTTTTAATAAGTGAGGTATAAAATTTATTTAAATATTTAAATACTTTTTTTAATTAGTAAATTCCCAATTTTTTTTTATATTTAGGCTAACAAATATCCAACAGAATTACGCATACGTGTATAAGAAAAGAAATACCGATATTTTTAAAATATATTTTTATAGATTTCGGACGCCATTTTGAACCGGCAAGTTATAAAAAAATTTTAATTTAAATAGAAGGTGTGTAGATATGTACTAACCTTCCATTTTCTTTTATTTGTAGATTCTGGACTTGTTAGATGCCATCTTGGTCCGGTAAAGAATTCTTTTTTTGAATAAAAGGCGTATAGGCGTCTCTAAATCTCGTTAGATAATTAGATCGTACTTGGATGGTGAGTTTCAAAATTATACTTTAAGACTTTGTTTTTTTTTCTTTAAACAAAAATACAATTACTAATATTTATTTATTATATTTTATTTAGCTCTTCAAATCCTTGCAGAATAGTTGTTTGTTGGAATCGAACCAACTGGAATAATGTTACAAACCATTAACAACATAATGTATATAAATAGATAGAATAAGAGTAAATTAACGTTAACGAATATAATTTAAATATAATAATGAAATAAAAAATATGTAATAAATAATAATAATAAGAAGAAATCAGGTTTCAATGTAGTGAATATACACCTGATATCGGTAGAAATATCAGATTGCCCGTCTGACAAGTTTGCATCGATAAGGCCTATTCCTAAAAAGTTAATTAATCCCATTTAATTTTTTTTTAACAAAGTTGAACAGTCTGACAAGATTACATCAATAAGGTCTATTCCTAAAAAGTTAATTAATCACATTTAATTAAATGATATTTAATTGTATTTTTTTTTTTTTAAAAAAAAAAAAAACTTTCTTTCTGAAAGTGAAGTCTGCCTCCTATACCATTTGCCATCATGCATAGTATATTATAGGAAAGGTGGGCTAGGTGGCCACCTGAAGTTTGTAAATAACTAAATGATAATCTAATTTAGCTTCGAATTTTGGTTGTCGCATTATTCGTCGAATTTTTTTTTTTTTTCTTTTTTTAAACCGCAGAAAGTCTAAATGGACATCATTATGAATATTTCAAACAATAATAATGTAAAATCCTTAATCATAGTTAAAATAGGCATGATGGGATAACTCATATATCATGAGCTCTGTCTGAGCGAAGTGCCATTTTATTTATAATCAAAGTAGGTTTGATTATCATTGATGGGAGAGTAACATGCAACGAAAATCCTTTAATCAAGAGGGTAAAATAGGCATGATGGGATAACTTATATATCATGAGCTCTGTCTGAGCGAAGTGCCGTTTTATTTGTAATCAAAGTAGGCTTAAGTTGTAAGTAACTTGATTATAACAATGATGATTATTGGAGAAATTAAGTTGCGACATTTTAAGCATTTTTTGATTTATAATATTATTGATGTAATTATTTATTGATATTGATGAGAACGATGTAAAGGATTTATTGGACGAATTTACATTTATCCATAGTTATTTTATATAATTTTCGGCATAGTTTTGGCATTCCTTATTTTTTCATTTACACATAATTAAAAACATTGATATATTCTGTTTTATTGTATATTTGTAATATTTTTATTTTATTGTAATAACAATAAAAATTTCTAATCAATGATATGCCTTTAAGTACATGTCCTAAAAGTAAAAAAATATAAATATTTCTTTGACGCAATTAAGTATAACTCTCCATCCCTGTAAAAAAAGTCGATCCGTTTTTAATATTCCATCCTTTTTTCGCAAAAGGCCCATATTTCCGGAATTAGTAATCTTATATCACGGAATTTATCGAATTATTTACATTTTCCGTGAATGGATCCGTGAAAAGCTCATTTTTGCGGAGTTTTTACAGAAATGACGGACAAAATTTTTTATAGGGCATCATCCAAAAGTTCGACAACCTAAAAAAATAAAACAAAGAAAGAAACATTAATATGTTTCTTTAAAATTTTAAGAAATACTTCCCCTCTCCCTCTAACTTACATTCAAAGCCAAGTTCATCTTACGTTTCTTTAATATTGAAACAACACATCTTTACCTAAAAATAAAAGAAAAATGGCGTTAATATTTCCCATTATACAACCGCACATCACCCAAATAACACCTACCCGCATACTCAAGAGAAAGTGGAAATCTAAAAATAAAAGCAGAATGGAGTTAGTGTTGTTTCATAACTACGCAACCATACACCCACCCAAACACCTACCCGCATATTCCACTTCAAGAGAAAGCCGGAAATCTAAAAAATAAAAAAGAAATGTCGTTAATATTGTTTTATAACGCCATTTCATATTATACACTCACCCAAACTTCACTTACCGCATATTCCACTTCAAGAGAAAGCCGGAATCTAAAAAAATAAAAAAAGAGTTCGTTAGTATTATTTTATAATGCCATTTTATCATCCAAACTTAACTTACCGCATGCTTCACTCTAAGGAAGAACCAAAAGAACAAACTCGGCTTACTTAAATTTGCCGAAACTCATCCAGAAGGCCATCCTTAATTCGTTCCAACGGAATCCACATTCAGAAGAACGCCCCTAAAGAAAAAAATAAATAATAAAAGCCTTATTTTTTTTTTAAGACTTTTTTTAAAATTATGATCAACCGATCAGATTGTCAGATTGATAAATCGGATCAGTAAGTCACTTGACTGATACCGATGCCGAAACTATATTTACTTTAGTAGTAAAGCAGCAACTAAGCTTTAGAAGCTTTAGAGAAAATCAAATTGCAAATTATGAAGCATTATATCAATTCATTTTCCACCTATTGAACGTGATCCAAATACATTTATATAAATTTGTATAATTTGTACATTTTATGAAATCTTGCATGATATATGCTTAATAATTAATTTATATAAAATAATATTCATGTAATTTCCATATTTGCAAAGTCTTACACAGCCTTGCATAGTTGCTTAGTAAATGTAAATAAACAATTTACATAATTACGAAGCTTCTTCGGTATTTTTATTATTTTTTATATGTAATATATTTCGTAAGATCTATTTTTTTCTTAGTGATACAAGATTAATAAATTTGGAAATAAATAAATAGTGATTGGCACGATCAAAACCCATTATCTTCTTAAATTATCGTAGGATAGAAAACAAGTCCCCCATTTTCACTATTTTATTTATTTGTACCTTGTAACGCAAAAATAATTTAAAGTAATAGTTATTTATTTTTATATATGTACTCTGTGAAGTTCCCATACAAAAATCTTCAAAACACTTGCAACAAATACTCTTTTTCGGTCATGATCTACCCATACGTTTAAGGAAATACTTTGGGTGAAATTTTAATAATCATTAATCATTACTAATTAATCATTAATGATTAATCATTAGCCATTAGTTATTATTGAGCAGAGTAGCGGCCCACCCTCCCACCTGGCGAACTTGGTTTTTATTTATAGTTAAAAAAAAATTAAAAAAAATTTGTAATCTAAAATGAAAAATTTTTTTTAACGAATGAATTTAAGACATGTAATAAAAAAAAAAATTTTCATTTTATCCGAAAAAAGGTAATCAAAAAGCCCCCAACGACTAATTTAAAAAAATCTCAGCCACATTAAAAATTGTTTATTATTTAGGAAATATTGAGGCTTAATAATATACATTTAAGGAAAAATTTGGCGAAAATCCTAATTGACAATAATAAGTAATTTAAAAAAATTAAATTAAATAAATAAAAAATAATAATAATAAATAAAATAATTAATTGTCAATAATAATAAATAAATTTTCGTGAAGAAAAAAATAATTTTTTTTTTTTAGGAAAATGAATTTATTACGTGTCTACATGCCAAACAATTACGTGTTCAAAAAAAAAAGAAAGTTAATTGATTTAACATAATTAATAATCGATAAGCCTCCAATGACTAATTTTAATTGTTTATTACCTTCTTAGGAAATATTAAGGCGTAATGAACTGCAATTATTATTTTATGATCAAATAGTTTTTAAAATTATTCAAAAAAAAAATTTATTTGCGATCTACTTATACGTTTAAGGAATAATTTGGTGAAAATCTTAATTAATTGTGAAAAAAAAAAAAATTTTTTTTTTACACGTGAATTTATTTAATCGATAAGCCTCCATTAATTACGAAATTTTGATTTTTTTTACTTTCTTAGAAAATATCGAGGCTTAACCCAGTTATTACAATATCTGTTCATTGAAATGACGTAATGTATATAAATATGAATAGGGTAATTTTTTTTTTATTTATTTACCTTTATTTCAAAATGATATACATGTTACAAATATGGAAATAAAAAAAAATTTTTATCTTCCCACATGAAGTGAAACGAAATAAAATTTTTTCAAAATGTGCTGATTTTTACATATATGCATGTGTTTCATATACTTTTGATTTTCAATTATCGCATTATTTTATTTTTTTTTAATCGTATTTGTTTTCTTTCATTGATTTTGATTATTAAATGTATTAAAAATATGCAATCATTTGTTTGCCACGTACACTCATCAGATTTATTAGTTTCCTTAGCTTTTGGTAAGTTGAACATATTTCTTAACGTTGTGTATGTCTTTTTTTCCTTCATTAATATTAACTATTCTCCCTTCTTTTCATTTTATTCGTCATTCCACTTCGTCACTTTTTGTAAGTAGTTTTTTCCACCTTTTAACGGCTTTAAAACTTTGGCATCAGTATCCTAGTAAATGGTAAATTATTTTGGGTCTTTTGGAATTGGGAATTTATTTTCTTTAACTAACTATCTTTTTCTTTTTTTTGGTTGGGCTGTTCACTTCTTTTTTGGGCTTTATGTCTTTTTGTTTCTTTCTTATAATGCCATGCTGTTTCATCATTTTTTCCATCACTGTTTCATCTCCTATCATTCTTTTTCTATCTCCATTTTATTCCATATATTCTTTCATCTCCATTTCATCCTATATCATTTTTTCTATCACCATTTCATTCTACACCGCTTTTTCATCATCATTTCGTCCTTTCATCACCATTTCATCTCCTATCATTTTTCCCACCACTATTTCGTTGCCTATCATTCTTTTCCCATCTCCACTTTGTTCCACATTATTCTTTCATCTTTCATCTCTATTTCATCCTATCTTTTTTTTTCATCGCAATTTTGTTCTATATCACTTTATCATTATCATTCGTTCATCCACCATTTCGTCTTATATCATTATTTCTATCACCATTTTGCTCTATATCACTTTTTTGTCATCATTTCAACCTATACCATTCCTTTAACTACCATTTCGTCTCCTATCATTTTTTTCTACCACCTTTCGTTCTATATTGCTTTCCATCATCATTTCATCCCATATATACTGTTCTTTTCATTACTATTTCGTCTGAATCATCTCCTATTGTTCTTTTCCATTACCATTTTGTTTTATATCACTTCATCATTATCATTTCGTCTCCCTTAATCACCATTTCATCCTATATATCACAATTTCATTCTATATTGCTTTTTCATCATCATTTCATCCCATACTGTTCTTTTCATTGCTATCTCGTCTCCTATTGTTCTTTTTCCATTACCATTTCATACTATTGTTTCTTATTACTCTTTTTGTTCTTTATTGTTCTTTCTTATTCTTTATCACTCATTTTGTCCATTATTATTTATTTGACTGGAATGTTCTCAAAAATTAAAGATGTACGCAATTTTTTAGTCGTGTAAAATTACATAAAGTTAAATAAAATATTTAAATTAGTTATTGGTTAATTATAATCATGTGACACCAGTGCTGACCACCACTCCACCAGTGGTGATAAATAACAAACTTCTTTTTTAAAATAATAAATAAAATTTAAACAATACATCGGGTGAACTGATTTTTTTTCATTCATTATTCTAACAATAATTTACACCATTTACGATAATCTCATGTAAAAAAAATATCATCCTTGAGATTTCTAAAATTTAATTTAAATTAAAATATAATATGCTCCGATCCTTGATCATTGATCCCATGATACTATTAATTAATACACTCAAAATTTGCTCCCTTCAGTCCCGAGTTCTGTGGTGGGTACTGGAACAAAAAAAATACTGGCTAGTTGTTCTATAAAATTACGTTAACTACCAGTCTTTTTACGCAGTTATTTATCTTAACAAATTAATATCGTATTTGTATAGCATTATGTAAGGAGTATTTTTATTTAAGATCAAAATAGAAAAAAAAATTTATGGTGATTTTTTTGAACATGAATTTTAAATGCCCTTTTTGTTCTCGTACATTTAGTAAACGCTCAGCATATGCTCAACATATTTTAGTATGCCCAAAAAATAATGTAAATCCTATTGATAATAAAAGTGATAGCGAAACTTCTATTAATGCAATACAAGACGTTAATCAAAATAATGAAGGAGATATTTCTCACGATGAGGTATAAAATTACAAATATTTATATAAATATTAAATATCTTTAATTCTATTATTTACTAATAAAATTTATGATTTAGATGGAATATGAGAGTTATCAAGATGCATCATTTAATAGTGTTCAAAGTACATTTTCAGTAATGAGCTATGAAGATATATTAGAATGTGAAGAATCTGAAAAACCTGAACAGTCTGTCAAGGAACCTGAAAAGTCTGGAGAATCTGCTGAAGAATCTGAGGAATCTGGAAAATCTGCTAAAGGATCTGAAGAATCTGCTGAAGAATCTGCTGAAGAATCTGAGGAATCTGAAGAATCTGCCAAAGTATTTGAAAATTCTGAAGAATCTGAAGAATCTGCCAGAGAAAAGGAATTGGAATCTTCCAAAAAATCTGAAGAAACTTATACAGAATTTCCAAATGAAGTTTATAAAGATCTAATGATATTAGTTACAAAACACAAATTGAATAATAAAGCTAGTAATGCAATTATAAATTTTTTTAATAAATATTCAACTCTTTCAAAATCTCCTTTACCTAAAAATATTGAAAAGGGACGAGTATTTATGAATAAAATGAAATTTTCTAATTTAACATTTAAAAGAATTCTTATAACAACTTATAATAATAAAGAATATTTTCTTCATTATCAAGATTTATTGAATTGCATTAAAAATATTTTGGAAATTCCTGATATAATGCAAGATTTTGCACTATCATTTGAAGATTGCAAGGTAATAATATTTTTTTAGTATGTAAAATAATTGAGTGTAGTATTATAAATTTATTAATATATTACTTATTTTTACTATTAGTATAAAGGAGAAAGAGTTTATAAAGAACAAAATACTGGAACATGATGGAAAAATACTGAATCTACTTTACCTATTGGTGCAAAATTATTATCACTTATTTTATATTCTGATGCTACTACTACAGATGTATTAGGAAAAAATCAATTACATCCAATATATGTATCAATAGGTAATATTCCAACATGGCGTCGTAATAAACCAGATGCCAAACAACTTTTGGGTTATTTGCCAATATTAGAAGCAGCTAATAATTCTGAAAAAAAATCACCTACTTTTAAAATCTTAGTTCGGGAAACTTTTTACAAATCTTTACAACATTTATTAGAATTAATGAATATAAAAGATGGTATAGAATTATTAGTAAAAAATGAAAAAATATGGTTTTATCCTCGTATTTCTATTATAATAGCAGATTGGCCAGAAGTAGCTACATTTTGTTTAACTTATAAGTCTTCTAATTCAAAATTTCCTTGTCATTTTTGCATGGTTGCAAGAGATAATCTTGCTAATATAAATTTATTGCCTAGTGATGTAAAATTAAGAACTCATGAAGAAATGTTTAAACATTTTAGTGAAAATACTGAAAAAACTATTTGTATAGAATCTGTACCTAATTTCTTTTGGAAAATACCGTATGTATATATATAATTTTATTAGTTAATATTATTGTATTACTAGTAATAATAATAATAATTATATTATATTTTAATTTTAGAAATATAAATATTTATTTAGCAACAGTACCTGATAGAATGCATCATTTAGATCTGGGTTTATTTCGTTATCAAATTGAATTTACATATGATCTTTTGAAATTGCAGCACAATAATAAATTAATTGATGAATTAGATTGTCGTATTGCTGCAATTCCTCGTTATCCTGGTCTAAAGATTTTTTCTAATGGATTACAATCAATTTCAAGATTTACTGCTGATGAATATAGAAATCTGATGAAAATTATGGTATTTGTGGTAGATAATTTATATAGTAGTAATACAAATAATAATATAACAAACAATTTTTTAAATAATAATGATGTTGTAAAATTATATCAAAATTGGAATGAAATGTATATTTTAAGTAGATCTGAAAAATTTAGTGAAAATGATTTAATAAAATTTAAGGTAAATAAAATTTTATTATTAATTATTAAATTAATTAAATTCAGTTCACAGGTCGAAATGCTAAAAATCGGCAAAAAAAATGGCGCGAAAAGCAGTGGCTATTTTTGGCTATTTTTGGCTATTCTTGGCTGTTTTTGGCTATTTACGAATTAACCTATACTATTTGTAAATAGTTTATACAAATTTGCGAATAGTTTATGCGATTTGCGCCATTTTTTTTGCCTATTTTTGGTCATTTGACGTGTGGTTAAATATTAATTAATTTTATTATTATTAGAATGCAATGTATGAATAGGCACAAAGATTTATTCAAGCTTTTAAATTTATTTCTTCTTCACAATTAAAATTACCTAAATTACATTTGTGGTTATATCATATTATTGATTCAATACAATTATATGGAGTAATAAATGGATATACAACAGAAACTTATGAAAGTTTGCACAAAAATTTTGTTAAAATACCATATCGTATTAGTAATAAAAAAAATATTGAATCACAACTTTTACAAACAGTAAGTATTTTATTATTTTATAATTTGTAATATATATATTTTTCAAGTTACTAAAATTATAAAAAATTAATAGATAAGACGTCAAGCAATATCATCTATATTTTCCCAACAATCAGTAATAACAAAAACACCATATATGTATAGATTTTCTACAAAGCTTTTTGAATTTTCTTTAAAAAATGCAAATTTATTTTTTAATGAAAAAAAAGGCAGTGTAGATAGTAAAATGCAAATTGGTTTTAGTAAATTTCTAGAATGTTTAGATTTGTATTTGGATTTACTTAATGATCCTAAAATAGACAATAGTCAAGTAAAAATATTTGGATCAGTTACAATAGAAAATGGCACTATAGTACGTGCTACTAATAGTTATCATAATAAATCATGGTTTAGTAATGTGGCAATTTCAATGAATTCTGAAGAATTGGAAGATTATATATCAGATTAAGGGATTTGTTATGGACAGGTAATTTTTTTATTTATTATTTTAATTAAATAATTATGAAATAACTAATAACAAATAATATTTAATATTTTAGACTTTATTATTAGCAGAAATATTAATAGAAAAAGAAAGTTTACCATTAAGTTTGGCATCAATTCAATGGTATGATTTTAAATCTCAAACACATCCATATTTATATGGATGTCCCCATTTGAAATTAAAAGAATTATTTAATTTTGTAATTATAGAAGCTATACAAGGTATTGTACATATAATACCCCGATTTGCTAAATCAAATGAATACTTTGTAAATAAATATATGTTTTAATTTTCAATTTATATTAAGAATTTGTAAGAGTTAAAATTTTATAATTATTTACAAAATATTTTATTAAATTTATTCAAAATATTGATAAAAAAAACATAATAAATCATTCTTGATTGTTATTATTATTTCCTTTTCGCTTCCTCTTATATTTAAAACATTCATCTAAACTTTTAAAAAATGGTTATGATTTGTAATGATTGTGTTAGTTGTGATACTTGTATCAGTTGTAAATACTTGTAATGATTTGTAAATCACTCTTTTTTTTCTATTTGTGAAAAAAATTTTTTTTTTGTTGTCATCTTTTTCGTTGATGAACTACATCATTTTTTCTTGATGGCCATCATCATCTAACTCACCCATCTGAAAAAAAGATTGTTAGATATCACTTACTGTATAAATGCTAAGTGATAATTGATCATGCGATAAGTAAAAATCAAGTCGCATTTCACAATTTTTACGCTCCTTCTTACAAAGAAGAATTTATAGGTAGAATTTTTCCTATCCTATTAACAGGGCGAGGTGAATTCACCATGTAGACACTCTTTCACAAGTTATACATGTTTTTATATAATAGCGGGTGGTGTATGAAAACGTGTTAGTAAAGCTAAAAAATATTTTTCATAGCTGATAAATGCTACGTCGCAAAACTATATGGACATTCACCTATCCAATGTGACAACTGCAACCAGGGATATATCATCGTTATTTAGCTTTCAAACCTTTCTTAGCTGAACTAAATTTTTACCAAAAACTTTAAAATATAACGCATCCAAGGTAAAAAGCAGCGAGACGCGATAGAATTACAAAATTAGGAAAAATCGACTTACTTTTTTAGTCGATTTTATAAACAGTTTTCAATTTTTATTTTTTTTTCAGTTCTCTTTTTTTTAGGTGTTCAGTGATCTCTTTCTTCAAGACGACGGGTAAGTTTATTTATTTGTTTTGTATTATTTTGATTTGTTTTATATTAATCTATTTCTTTCTTTTTCTTATGATTAGGTTGGTTTGTTCAAGACGGTCTATAAAGAGGACCATTCAAGAAAAATTAGTAGATATAGAAGTTACTTTGAAATAGTTGCATAAATCACAAAATATGTAAGTTATCGTTTCAAAAATTAAAAAAAAGATTTTAACTAATGTTTTTTTCTCTTCTACTAGTCACCCACGTTATCGATAGCATTCAATTATACGTTGATAAGGATTCCTTCTCCCACTGGTATTTTTAACACAGGAAGTCGACTGCAGAGAAGAATATAAGTGGACGACATTATGGTGGCGTGAAATGATATGAAGATAACGTAGCTGGTGAAACAAATAAACTGATCTGCGTAAGATTGGATTTTATTTTTAGTTTTAAAAAAAACGTTTGTAGGAAAAAGTTTCTGTATTTGGGATGATTGGTTGAAATGAGAGGATCGATTGGGAAATGAGTGAGTTTCGAAAGTTTCTTCTTTTCTAACTTATATATTAAAAACTTTACTTTTTTTTATTCATTTGTAGAACTGAGTTTTATTCCGGATAATAAGAATGGGTAAATTTCGTTACGAACCTTTTTTTTTCTTTCTTATATAATAGAATATTTTACTAATGTCTCTTTTTTTATTCTTTTGTAGGATCGGATACTTTTTATTCTAAACGATTGTGAATGGGTATTGGGTAAGTTTCGTAATGTTCATTACGAAACCTTTTATATATATATATATATATAATAGAACATTTACTAATGTCTCTTTTTTTATTTTTTTGTAGAATCGGATATTTTTTATTTTGAGTGATTGAGAATGGGTAAGTTTCATTACGGAACGTGTTTTTTTTCTTTTTATAGTATAACTGATAGAAGCATTTTACTAATGTTATTCTTTATTCTTTGGTAGGATCAGGTTTCATTGTAAAGCAATATATACGTACTTCTTGTTAACATGATGGTTTCTTATTTTTATTTATTTATTTGTTTTTTGTATGAATGACCTTGAAATGGACTTTGGAGGTAAATAAATCTGAGTGGTTCTTATTTGCATGAAGGCGGTTTTTTAAATTCTTGGACAACTTAAGGTCTTTCTTTAATGATAGAATTGTGGGTTTATGTTGGGTTAAGAAATACTTTATCAAGAATCGAATAATGATTAATGAAAACAATGTTTTGGGAAGCGTGTTATTTAATTAATGTCGCATAACTTGCTTAATCTGGTTATTGATATAATTTAATTTTTATTCTCGCCTAATAATTGCTTATTCTAACATAAATTTTCAACGTCAAGAAAATAAAAGTAAATTCAAATTTTATTTAACATTATGTTGTTTATTTTATTTTACTTTTATTAAAGAAAGGTGGTTTAGAATATGAATACATATTAATGTGCAATGGAATACTAACACAAACACACTCATATTAAACAATACCATCTTTTACCTTTAGAGAAAAAATGAAATACTTTTATTAATATCATATTTGCTCAGCGAAGATTTATAAATAGTAACGTGACTAGTAATCACATGTTACGAAAATTAACACACATGATTGGTTGTTTATTATTTTTTTTCCGTTTTAAGGTTTTTGTTGACGTTTTATATCTTTTTCTTTGTAGGACATTTTTTTCAATACTTTGGCCTGGAAAGTAAAAATCCAGACTCAAGTAAGTTTTATTTTATTTATTGGTTTTTACTAACTTCGTCCTTATTAGGTTCTTCATTCTTTGGCTTGAAGTAGAAATCCAGACTCAAGTAAGTTTTAATTTTTATGAATTTTTATTTATTTTATTTTTTTTATTTTTATTTTCGTTTCTTTAATAATTTTATTCTTTTTTTTTCAGTTCTTTAATTTGAAGAAGTAAAAACCAGATTTGAGTAAGTTTTTGCTTTTACTTTTATTTTTATTTTTATCTTTCATAAATTTTTTTATTCACGTTATTTTTAATTTTTTTGGTCTCAGATAACAAAATTGATCATTTCATATTGGTAATTCTTAACCTTCCTTAGTGATTAAGGTCTGCTTTTGCTATAGGGGGCGAAGGCTATATATCTTTTCTGAATTTACAAGCTATTGCATATTTACTAGTAATATGATAAAAAAAAGTACAATTTCTTTATTATAGTTTTGTGTTTTAACATTAATTATTATATAATTTAGGTATGTACAATAATCTATTAGTATTATTAAAAATTACAAAAAAATTATATATTATGAAATGTAAGTTTTTTAAATTGCGCCTAATAAAATTACAAAAAACCAAAATAAAATTACAATAAGTTATGTATTATAAGGTTACGAAATGTAAAATTTGTAGAGAATTATGCCTAATAAAATTACAAAAAATTATGCATTATAAGATTACGAAATGTAAAATAATTAAAGACTTACGCCCTTATAATTTTACGAAAATACTAAAGAATGTAAATATTCAAAATACTACACCTAATAAGATTACAAAATATTACATTTTGCAAGATTACACAATATTACAATTTGCAAGATTACATTTTGCAAATCTATATAAAATTACATTTTATAAGATTACAAAAATATTATAATATGTAAACCTTCGTGGGCCTTGTAAGTTTATATAAATCTACGATATAAAGGAATTTTAGAAGTTTACGCCATATTTAATTTACTGATGTATCACTCAATCGTCAGAAATTGTCTTAAAAATATTGCATTTGCACTCAATTGTCCAAAAATTGTCAAACCATTGTCGCTCAATTGTCTAAAATTGTTAAAATTTTTCTAGCATTTGAAAGTTGAATTTTGGTAAAATGGTCCATTTTTCCAAAATTTGACAAAAAAAATGCACAATTTACCAGAATTTTCCTGGTAAATTGTGCAACAATGGAAAATTTTTATTTCAAATTTGCAATTTACGTATCATTACAAAAAATTCATCACAATTTACATAACATTGGCCTAATATTGCTAAAAATTCACCACAATTTGCACTTCGTTTACATAACATTACTAAAAATTTAACTAAATTCACCACAATTTGCATTACGTTTGCATAACATTACTAAAAATTTAACTAAATTCACCACAATTTGCATTACGTTTACATAACATTACTAAAAATTTAACTAAATTCACCACAATTTGCATTACGTTTACATAACATTACTAAAAATTTAACTAAATTCACCACAATTTGCACTTCGTTTACATAACATTACTAAAAATTTAACTAAATTCACCACAATTTGCATTACGTTTGCATAAAATTACTAAAAATTTGACTAAATTCACCACAATTTGCATTACGTTTGCATAAAATTACTAAAAATTTGACTAAAATTTACACAATTTACATTATGTTTACATAAAATTACTAAAAATTTGCCTAAAATTCACCACAATTTACATTACATTTGCATAAAATTACTAAAAATTTAACTAAATTCACCACAATTTGCACTTCGTTTGCATATCATTACTAAAGATTTGCCTAAAATTTCCCACAATTTAATGATAATTCACTGAAAAATTTCTCAACATTTGAATTAGGAATTCTGTAGGAATTCCGCCATTTTGACAAAATTTGCCAAATTGTAAGACCTCCATTATCCCAAAATTGTAACACAATTTACCCCAATTTACCGGGATAATTCTCAATTTGCCAGAAAAATTCCAGGCAAATTTTGCAACAATGACATCTGTTCGACCTGTGTCAGTCGATTTGTGATTGATTTTACCAATTTTTACCGTTGGTCAAAAAATATGACGAATCACATGACCAATCGGCAAAAATTATGCTGAAAGCTCTTAACGGTCGAAAGTTTTGATTTCGACCAGTGCATCCCTTTATCATTTTCAGATGCAAACAAACCTTATCAAAAGAAACTGTAAATTTAGTGAAAGTTGAAAAGTAACAATTTTGTATTAATCGAAGTAGTATTGCTATAATAACAATATCGCTACAGAATATAAATATACAAGGAATATTTTCAATTTTACTGCAAATTTTGACAAAGTATAACTTGCCGCATTAAAGTATATCAAATTTTAACGCAGTAGAATGCTAACGATTTTCTTATTATTATTAATTGATTTGACTTTTTAATTATGATTTATAGTTGATTTTTCAATCAAGAAATCAACGCAGTAGGACGCTAACGATTTTCTTATTATTATTAATTGATTTGTCTTTTTTAATTATGATTTATAGTTGATTTTTCAATTGAGAAATCAACGCAATAGGACGCTAACGATTTTCTTAATTTTAATTAATTGATTAGTCTTTTTTAATTATGATTTATAGTTGATTTGCCAATCGAGAAGTCAACGCAGTAGGACGC